AAATATAAATATACTACACCCTCAGCGACACTTCAAAAAACACACCATAGTATATACATGCAGACACTTAGTCTAGATTCGTTCTTCGCGCTCACGTGGTAGCGTACACACATACACACGTACTTACCCCCCTCCCATCCCACCCTACTCCCCCCCACGACACACACACAACCAGTCAGACAGGACCCACAGAAATCAACACTCACTCACTGTGGATAACATACCTCGAGGTCAGCGGCAAGGATCCTCGAGGGTAACCCCTGCACAATTGCCATGGCCGTTCCCTTGCGCTTGCTAGTGGTTGACTCATCCAGAGCCAGTAGCAGCTCGTAATCTGTGCGGTTGTTGGGTTAGGGTGTACATGAGTCTATGGATTGATCGTGGTTTGTGTATGGGTAGATCTACACCAGAGTATATCTGAGTCTATGAATTGATCGTAGCTTCCAAGGTGCATCTGAATATAGGGATTGTTAGTAGCTTGGGTATCGGTATGTTTAAATCAAGTTTTATTTGAGTATATAAATTGATCGTAGCTTGTGTATCTCTGGGTCTAAACCTGCACGCGCTGAGATGCGTGTGGGGGTGTATCTCTGCAGACACATGTGCATGTGTGGTTATCCCTGTATGACTGATCCGTGGCATGTACATGCGGAATTAGACATGCTGAGATGTGCATGTAACGATACATTCCCAGTACATAGCCACTTCAAACTAAACCTCCGGCAAGCGCCTATACCCCGAGGACTTGCCTGTAGCAGCGCCAGGTCTATTTTTATTTCTCTGACGTTTATGAATAAATACAGTGAACGATGTAGAACCCATTTAATCTCCTTACACGCCCATACACAAACGTTCAACAATGTATCCCAAGCTTAAAAGCAAACGACGAGCAGCAGGCTCATACCTATTCACGCATCTGTGGTTATGAAATCACAAACAGAGCTCCCACTCAATTGCGCCAAGTTAACACACACACACACACACACACACACCCTAAAACACACACACACCGTTTTCATTGAAGTCGCGGTCGATGAAGCTGAGGCGCAGATTGACTGGGTCCACATTGGGATGCAACCACGTCCCCATGCGGAAAGCGAACTTGTTCCTTAAGAGGCTGGATGAGTAGGTAGGTGAGGCAATAACAGACAACAGGCGCTTAGTTAACAAGGAACTTAGTCCAGACTATCTGTGCTGGAATCCTGATAACTAAATCCCGACGGAACCAAACTATGTAGATGAAAGTCCTAAATCTCATAATTACGTACTTTTTAAGCGGGTGATACGGTATTTGTGAGGTGCATATCTTGTGAATGAGCTGAATTTGTTTAAGCGTATACAACCGCTGAGACACTGTCGATGTCTCACGTCCTGCGTGTCAGACTAGCGGGAATTGGCTTAGCCTAACCTATCTCAGTAGTAGCTATAGCCCGATGCTATGAAGGCGTACGTAGATCCATACATACGCGTAATGCGAGGTGGTTCCCATGCTTGAAAGCAGTATATGTCAAACGTACCAGACCACACCTATACGGACGAGCACGTATACTACGCAATACACTCAGGATGGTTTGAGTCTGGGCATAAACCAGGACTACTTAATACCACCGTGCCTGTACAAATAGGTGGCGGCAGAGGAAGGACACGGGTAGTGTGCGCTACAGAAAAATTATCAACACTCGGTGATGCGGTGGAATGCTTATCCTTTATGGAAGTGCTGAGCCGGTCTCTGACTATGACTCGTACAGCGGGCTTGAACCTGTTGTTGATTGTGAATTAAACCTATTATTGACTGTGAATTGAACCTATTGTTAATTGTAAATTGAACCTATTGTTGACTGTATATTGAACCTATTGTTGATTGTGAATTGAACCTATTGTTGACTGTGAATTGACGCTGTGTGATTTACTTGAGATTCAAAGCTGTGTCTATAATAAGGTACATAAGGGGGTTAGGGTTTAGGGGTGTTTAAGGTTTAGTGGGAATTTATACCTGAGGGTCATGATGACGAAGATCCAAAACCATATCGAAGAAACGACAAACTGGACGGGGAGTGACAACACCAGAACAAAGAATAGGATGGCGGGCAAGAACCTCATCGCGAAGTAGCAGCCCAGAATAGCCTGACGTATAATCTGAAAGAACATACGTCCAAGGGTAAGAGGATGAATTACATGCATAGTAAAACATTCTATAAACAACTTCTTATGAAAACAACTAAGTAATTGTTTTGTATTGATAGGATTTTTTGAGCGCTCAAATTTTGCTGAAGTACAGTTTGTGCCATACATGACACAGAGAACAAAAAAAGACAAAATTTCAAATCTATGTACATA